CATATCTGCCTTCAATAGAATCAAATGTTAAATTTCTACATCACAATAAATGTAGGTACATACATAACACCAATCTGCCATTGATTATAATGATGTATCAAACACACATAATGAAAGCGCACAAAGTAAAAGAAAAGTTATGACAATATATAGAAGCTGGTTAGTGGTCACACTGTAGATCGATTTAAACAAATATAAGTTACCCAATATATCATAAGTCCTGAATTCCTTTATTTCTGATGAAAAATTGAAAGTCTACACTGGAACATTCAAACTAGATACTTAAAAAAGCGTAGCCTGGCCTGTGTCTCCAACAGCATTTTTCAGCTCAGCAAGCATTGTCAGCACAGAATCTACTCCGCTATCCAATAAAAAAGTTGAAAGAAGGCAGATAAAAAATAATTGAGCAATTAAAACCAGTATCCAGTGTTCTTTTATTTTTTAATGAAAAAATTAAAGTTGAGAAAGGCTACACTGGAACATTCAAATCACACACTTCAAAAAGTACAGCCTGTCCTCCTAACAATGTTTTTTAGCTCAACAAACATTATCAGCACACTTGTCCAAGCTACTCTGGTATCCAAAAGAAAACTGAAAGAAAACAGATGAAAAAATATTTGAGCACTTAAAAACAGCATCCAGTGTATCTTATATAAAGCATTAAAAAATAGCCATTTTGTGACACCAAGCAGCATCTAGTTATGGCAAGGAACTTGTTAGTAGAAGTACCGAATGAATATGGAAACCGTAAAAGATGCTAGAAGGTTATGTCACACATTGCATCTGTAATGCAAAGATTTCTTGTTAACAAGGTGAAAAAACAGAAATGCTTTAGCTTGCCGCTAGATTTTTTACTGGCAGAGCTGATACAACAGAATTCATACTTTTTGTAGGGAATCTACAGGAGAAGAGCATGAGAGATATTACGTTTATAATTTCTTTCTAGGATGCTACTTCTCAGGGATATACCATCCATAGAATGAGAACTTGGCTGAGCTAGGTTAATGTACTAATTGAACTTAGATCTCCCACAAAAGGGAAACAAATGGCCCGGTAACAAATATGTTGGACAAAGCAAGCATTTGTAAAGTGTATTTAAAGTTGTTGCTTTGTTTTTAAGTTTTGGATAAAACAAGGATTGGTTAAAACTACTTTTAGTTCTTTTTAGTACTTTTTTTCACCATTGTCTGTATCTTAAAAGAGAAATTGCATTTAACTTCCTGTTTTGAAAATTCAACAGGAAGTTAGAGAAATTTTGCAAATTGAGGGGAAATTCACACTTAGTGTCTCCTTTGGGCGATTACCCTCACTTTCTGATTACCTTTACCTTCTGTTCCAGTTACAACAGTAAAATTTTCAATTTCCCATAACATTCTTTTTCAATGACAATGATCACCAAGACAAAAAGAGAGGGTGGATACAATCAGATATGAATTCTTCCTCTTCCCCACGCAATCCAAATGAAAAAAAAGTTTTGGTTATAAATACACTTTTGTGATAAATACACTTTAGCACATATAATAATGGAATAATTATAACAACATGCTTTATATGCCGATCATGAGAATGTGAGGCATATAATTTTGGTGAGTGAGTGTCCTAGAGGGATATGGTGGCACTGAGCACTTTGTTGTGGAACAATTTAATTGGAGAAGACCTGAAGTTACCAATGTTTAATGAAATGTTTAGATATTAATGGGACTTTTCTTCTTTTTTTTTTTTTGCACTACTATAACACTGGGTGATTTTTTATTGACTTTTCTTACACCTTTATTCATTTTCAATGTCATTTGATTATAATATATTAGGAGTTGATTGGTCTTGATATATATTGCACATAGGATAGCACCTCTGTTCTTTTTTTTGTTTTGTTATTTAGAAGGAACTGGGTTACATAACTTTAATTTGTTATTAAGTGGCAGCTGCTCATTTAGTCTAGTGCACGGGTGTTTTTCTGTGGTGCGGGGGGCGAAGCTGTTGGACATAAGAGGGAGAAGCACAATAGCTTATTGTTTTATAAAAAAAAATGTACTTACTTTACACCCTGGCTTCTGCCCACTAGGGTGAAGCAGGTCTTTTGGCAAGATACTGAGAAAGCTGAGGATCCCAAATTCTCTAGCACAATGCAGAAGCATCTTTTCTCAGGATTTTGGAGGGAGGAGCGGAATAAACTGATCTGGCATAAACAAAATATGTCAGTGTCTCTGCAGTGAACTTTGAAAATTACTTTTTTTCACTGTGTCTGCAGCTATATAGATCAGGGAGGACTTGTTTTACACCTTTTCTGCCCTCAGTCTGGTGTTCAATTCACTTTAAAGGTAAACTATAATAGTATTCATAATTTATATTTACTCCTTTAACTTATAATACTTTAAACAGTTTTTTTTTACTATATTATATGTATACAATGCAATGGCAAGGGACTTCCAGAACATTTTGGATTAGTTGCTGAGCCAGAACAGCAGAAACAGATTGCTTGGAAGCACATGAGTAATGTAGCTAAAGCTGTAGAGAAAAAATGTTTTTTAAGCTAAATAGCAGCTTTAAAGTGATACCAAAGCCTCATTTTTTTCAATATTAAACATGTCATACTTACCTGCTCTGTGCAGTGGTTTTGTACAGAGCAGCCACGATTCACCTCTTCTCAGGTCTCCCGCTGGCTATTCTGGCTCCTTCCCACTGAACATTGCCCCATAGCAAGCCGCTTGTTAGGAGGGCACTGGTATGTGCTCATCCCTGAGCCCTGCTCTCTGAGCCCATAGGACACAGCAGCGTGGGACTTTGTCCCATCCCTGCTCCCTCCTCACAGACTGTGATTGCCAATGACTCCCGCTGCGGCGTCTCAGCCAATGAGGAGGAAGAGACTCACGAAAGCTGATTTTCCCCATGAACATCGCTGAACCAAGATTAGGCTCAGGTGAGTATTTGGAGGGGAAAGGGGGGGTGGGGGTGCACTTCACATGATGCATGAAGGTAAAAAACTTTACGTTTTTAGATCACTTTGATGTGTTACATTACTATAGGTGATTTCCTTTGAATTATAATACCATGATTTTCTTATAACAGACTCAAGTTTAAAAACTTGAAAACACCAGCAAGTCCGATCTGATTTCATATGGGAGTGAGATAACAAGCTTTGTAAATAGCATTCATTACCATTTTTTCCTGCATACCTGTACATACATTTGAAATACAAATTATGTCATTCTGAAATAGTACAATTTGTCTTCTTGTTGCCATGGTGTTCTGTCCACAAGTGCCTACGGATGACAACCAAATGTTAGCGTAAAAACATCATTCCATTCTACTTTTTTTCTGCTCTGATCAATGACTAATGTTACAATACTCTGACTGATGGTAGCAGATAAGGTGTGAGCATGTTACTATCACACATTGCTTTATGCATGGTTATGTTGTATTGCTAGGAATTTATTTTTTATTCTACAAGGTAAAATACATGCATGTTATCTTGTAAATTAGATTCTCACAAACAGAGAGTAACCATTAAAGTATTTTTTTTACAGATGCTAATGGATTTTATTGTGCATATACCTCATGTGAAATATTTATAATGCCTATAATTAGCAGAAACGTTTAGTGCCTTTCCAGGTGGGGAAGTGATGGAGGAATCTACGTGATTTACAGCTTCTTTTAATTGCTTTTAGAATCAAGAAAGACATGGGAAGGAAACTGGATCTTTCTGGTCTGACCGAGGATGAAGCAGAACATGTCCTTCAGGTTGTCCAGCGAGACTTCAGCCTCAGAAAGAAAGAAGAGGAACGGTTAAGGTAGGAAAATGTTCTCACATCTCCTTATTTTTAAAATAAATGGCAATATTATAAGACATAATAAATGCTGGACATTTTTATAGCTTAGGCACGCAAGTTGTAAAATTTTCTTTGCTTGTCAGTGCAAATATATTAGTATTCTAGTGATGCAATGTGCTTTTATGCATTTATGGGCACTGTACTGCATTCATAATGTAATAATGTTTGCATTTATATGAAATATGAGGCTTAACCCTTTTGATCACAGAATAACTGGAAAAGGATGAAAAAAAACATTTGTTGCAATAGCATGCTACCAAACACAAAAAGGATAAAAACCTCACTATGACACTATAGTACAAGAAGATTCATTGGAAACATATTGCCTGCTGAAAAATAAAGGGTGTTTTATTGATAAAGTGTATTTTCCTTTACTCTAGATATACAGTATTTAAATAGTATCTATGTATATTAGCCCTTTTTCCAATGGATCTACAACAATATTAAACCTTTACTGAAAAAGTAGGGGTATGGGTTTTTTTGAGGGTTTTTTCCCTAAAGGGGCCCTGCCGCTATATCACATGGCAAAGTCATATCTGTAAAAGAAGAGTTTCGAATTATATCTTTCCTGCTGCCTAAGACTGCTGTACTCATGTAAAGTCAACAGGGATTTCAGGATCCACAGGAACCAACACTTCCAGAAGTTGAACTCCTTGGGTACCCTACAGCTGTCACTAATTCCTCCTGCTGACCACCATTTCCCCTGTTATGACACAAGAGGGTCACTTTAAAGAGTAACTCCACTTTTGTTGAGAAAAAAAACAATCCCATTTGGCTGATCAATGAACATTGCAGGGCTTTTAACCTCCCTGGCGGTATGATTATGTCAATATTTCTGTGTTCAAAATGGTACATTTTTTTGCATAGAAATATGTTGTTTTTTTATTGTAGGCCTGCAATTTTTAGGAATAACTCACTGAAATCTGTCCGAACAAGAGTCTAGTAAACATCCCGGGTATGATAAAATTTGAAACACAAAATCATAAATTATAATATAATAAATAATCATAAATAATAATAATAAATTTAATTCAATAATATAATCAAACCGAAAGCACTGAAATTTGAAATATAGCTCATAGTTCATAGCTCATAGTTCGCACATCACTGACCTTAGTTGCAAAATCGTTTTCAGTGGCTGATGACCAATTTCCCCACAAATCATTATCACTCAATTCTGCAAGTGGTTCTGATTTACTATCGCTGTTCTCTAGCTGGTCTAAAACCACTTTTGACGTAAAGAGACGCTTCTTGGATGCCATGGACGTTTCTCATTTTCCAGGCAGAAAGAACAGTAAAAATGCAGGCAGGGCACAGGACAAAGCACTAGGGACAAAATGTATGTGAAATGCTTTGAAACAGTAATGTTTTACTATGTGATTTTAGTGCAGTTCGTGAATGTCACTTTTTAAAATTTTAAAATTTCCCGCCGATTTCCGGCCCCCGTACGTCCCGTGCGTCCCGACGCTTGCAGGGACCGGACCCCGGAAGACGGATGCTGGTATCTGCCGGAGGAGATGGCCCGGGACGCTGCAGGGGGGACATCACGGGAGCGAAGGACAAGGTAAGTGAAACAGGGATACCGGAGCAATGCTGCAGGGTAATCCCGAGTGTAGCTCGGGGTTACCACTTTTGGCACTGATAATTAACCCCGAGCTACACTCGGGAATACCGCCAGGGGGGGTTAACAAGCTTTTTACAAATTCCTTCCTGTTTCTGCTCTGAAGAAATTGCTGTTTGTTGAGTGCAGAGTGAATCTGAATAGGTATGACTTTTTCATAATTAATTAGGTGATGCACTTGCAATGTTCTAATGTGGAAAGGTGTAGGGTCTGCATCCCTTGAAGTAATTAAGCATTTGGGAGATGATATTTTTTGCAGAGGCTGCCTAAAATCTGACATATTGTATGTCTTAGTGCAAACTTCAGGGAAAATCAGTTAGACAACCACAGAAGCAGAATATTAAATTTCTGGGGAAGTTCTATACACCAACTGTGTACAGAAGGCCTCCAGGTTGCCATATTATAATATTCTCCCTGTCCCCACTCCTGGTTAAATAATTAAATACCATAATTAAATAAACATCTATATAGTTACAATTTATTATTATCATTTTTTTATGTATTATGTACAGAACGTATTTATATTACTTATAAATAAAGGGAAACACTGGAAATATAACCCTTAAAGAGTAAAAAGGAAAAGGAGAGCACCTTGACTCCAAACATAAGACTATTAAATACTACATATCAAAAGAACATTAGGTTCCTCTCCAAACATCATATTGTCTCTCCATGAAAGATCACAGTTGCACTGTGAGACCAACAGACATCATATTGTCATCAAGGTGTTAATACTTCCACCATCTCATAGTATGAATCAGAGTCCCAAAGGCATGTAAGGATTAGTCATGTCCAAGCTGTTAATAGTCTTATTTAGATGCGAGCTCTGCAAGGTATCCTCAATGCGAATGTGACTACCTTTGGTCTTTAGTTATTCTTTACTATTTGTACCATCCTAAAAAGGTGGTTATTTTGTAAATTCAGGGTCTGTCAGGAAATTTGAATGATTCATTAAGTCAGCGATACTGATTATTTAAGCGGTCAATATATGACGGTTCCTCCAATATAGAATAAATTATTAAATATAACTCAGCTGACCTATGTAATTATTTCCTGAATTCATGCTCTATGTAAATTTTTTTTTAACACAGTAAAATTGTGTGAAAGTACAGACAATGTAAGTTTATTTAACAATTAAGTCACTAACATTCACGTATAGCAACAGGATTCATAGCATGACATAGACACACAAAATTCATATTCCACAATGCAAATCATGACTTATTTAGGGATAAAACGAAATTCCCATTAATAGCATAAATTGAATAACTTACTGTTCACTTGTAGGTATCACAACCAATAATCAAACTAATCTAGCAAACAACTAGATCCACGCTTATCACACCCTTTGCTTCCTCTGCTAAAGAATAAAGGGGCCAAGTTTATCTACAGGCTGTGATGATACAGCTTGGATTTAATTATTTATTTCCTAGGGAATTGTAATAACGTGAGTGGCAGGTAATGTTAAAATCTAGCACACAATAAGGAAATATATCTAGGTAAGTTATATTCAGGAGTAAGATGGAATTTTTCAAAATGATTATCAAATTATACGTTATCCAGAAAGAGATTAGTGTTGAATTAAACACACTTTTCCAGTAGGACCTTCAGGTGCTGTTCACACTAGGGTATTTTAAATTCTGCGTTTCTGTATGTGATTTCAAAACACTCTGCTAAAATGACAAATCACAGAAATGCATGTTCCTCCTTAATCAGCATCTTTGATTGTTGGCATTATCCTCATCATCATCTCAAATCACAGAACCACATGTTCAGGTGCCATTCATGTCAATGGGACCTCAAAATGCGATGCGGTTCTGCAGCGGTTGTTGAGTGATAAATCGCACGGCAGTAGTGGAAAACCGCATCACGTGACATGTCACCCAAAAGAAGTTCAGGAACTTCTTTTGGGTGACACACATTGTGCGATGAAGTTTGCAGTGTGATTTATAGTGCGACAATCGCAGCCGCAGCAGAACTGAAATTTTTCAGGTGCCATTAACATGAATTGCACCTGAACACATGGTTCCACGATTTGGGATAATGATGAGAATAATGATGATAATCAAAGATGCAGATTAAGGAGGATGAAACTGAAGAGATCAAGATAAATCTCTTTTCTCTCTGAATTTCCTTTTTTGTCCCCAAAAATTCCCTTATCTATCGAGTAATATTACCCATTAATTACTTGTTTGCACAGTCAGTGGTTTCACTTGCCCACCAGATGGCACTCTAAGACTAGACATTAGTGGTGCACGAAAATGAAAATTCTAGTGCCAAAAAACCAAAACCAAAAATTCAAGATGCACGGCCGAAAAAATATTGTATATTTTTCAAAATCAATTTTTTGCGAAAAATTACACTTTAATGATTAAAAAAAACACAATATATACCCCATTTTTTTGTAAAATATGAAAAATGATGTTATGCTGAGTAAATAGATACCCAACATGTCATGTTTTAAAATTGTGCACGCTCGTGGAATGGCATCAAACTATGGTACTTCAAAATCTCCATGGGTGATGCTTTACAAGTTTCTACAGGTTACCAGTGTAAAGTTACAGAGGAGGTCTAGTGTTAGAATTATTGCTCTTGCTCTGACATTTGTGCTGATACCTCACATGTGTGGTTTCAACACCGTTTACATATGTGGGCGTAACCTACGTATGCGTTCACCACTACATGCGAACACGGGGGATGAGGACACTTACTTTTTTTATTATTATTATTTTTTTTTTTTTTAAATGTCCCTTTAAAAAAAAATTGTAATCACTTTTATTCCTATCACAAGCAATGCATGCATCCCTTGTGATAGAAATAATTAGTGATAGGTCCTCTTTATGGAGAGCTATTGGGTCAATAAGATTCCACATCTCTCCTTTACAATGTAAAGCATTAGATCAAAAAAGCATTGAACTAGTGCTTTAAAAAAAATGGCTTTATTTACAAGGCTCCGGAACCGGAAGTGACATTGCTCCGGTCCTCCAAGGGCATAGAGATGAGTGGAGGCCATCTTTCCTTCACTTATCTCTATGCCCAGCACCGGGATCATTCGGTGGTTTCTCAGGTAAGGCTGAGAACTACTGAACAGCAGTGGGTAGCAGCAGCAGCAGGCAGGGGTAAGGGATGGCAGCGGTAAGGGGGCGGGGTTATTTTTGGCACCTGTATCTGTGCTTATTTTCATATCGCCCAACAGCCGATAGGGGTGTTTTCGGCTGAAACTTTTCGGTGCATGCCTGCTAGAAATGGCTATGCTGGGAATAAAATTAGATTTTATTCAAGTTAGTCTTATAGGGGATATAATAGTTTTATTGCTAGATTGATCTAAATATATCATTTTACTTATCACATATTTTAATATGATTTGTAATATTAATCCTAATTATATTATCATCTTAATGATGTAACACTGGCTGAAAGTGTGTGATCTTATCCAGTGATCCATGTCAAGTACTAATATTCTTTAAAGCAAAACTTCACTCAAAAGGGAAAGTATTTGCCAGGCCCCCCCCCCCCTCAGACATCACAGGTCCCAGGAGACAATGGAACCATTCATGGGACACAGTGCAGCTCATGCATGTGCAGTGAAAAGCCAACTGTGAAGCCGCTGGGAGTCACAGTCAGTGCCCACAGTATTTGTAGCTTACATTTTAAATTTTTGTTTACAGGGTGAAGATCTCTTTAAGGGTGTCTGCATAATACCTCATTTTCTCATCCCATTTATTATAAAATATAACTTTCATTATTATGATAATACTTGTACATGATATTATATCTCTTTGTAATTGCATCCTTTTGGATACAATGATGTCTTACACAGCCGTGGCCAAATGTTTTGAGAATGACACAAATATAAATTTTCACAAAGTCTGCTGTTTCAGTGTTTTTAGATCTTTTTGTCAGATGTTACTATGGTATACTGAAGTATAATTACAAGTATTTCATAAGTGTCAAAGGCTTTTATTGACAATTACATTAGGTTTATGCAAAGAGTCAATATTTGCACTTTTGACCCTTCTTTTTCAAGACCTCTGCAATTCGCTCCTGGCATGTTGTCAGTCAACTTCTGGGCCACATCTTGACTAATAGCAGCCCATTCTTACATAATCAATACTTGGAGTTTGTCAGAATTTGTGGGGAGTTTTTTTTGTTCACCCGCCTCTTGAGGACTGACACAAGTTCTCAATGGGATTAAGGTCTAGGGAGTTTCCTGGCCATGGACCCAAAACTTTGATGTTTTGCTCCCCAAGCCACTTAGTTATCACTTTTGGCAAGGTGCTCCATCATGCTGGAAAAGGCATTGTTTGTCATCAAACTGTTCTTGGATGGTTGGAAAAAGGTGCTCTTGGAGGATGTTTTTGTACCATTCTTTATTCATGGCTGTGTTCTTAGGCAAAATTGTGAGTGAGCCCACTCCCTTGGCTGAGAAACAACCCCACACATGAATGGTCTCAGGATACTTTACTGTTGGCATGACACAGGACTGATGGTTGTGCTCACCTTTTTCTGGGTTCCCCAAGCAATCAAAAAGGGATTTCATCAAAGAAAATTACTTTACCCCAGTCCTCTGCAGTCCAATCCCTGTCCATTTTTGTAGAATATCAGTCTGTCCCTGATATTTTTCCTGGAGAGAAGTGGATTCTTTGATTCCCTTCTTGACACCAGGCCATCCTCCAAAAGTGTCCACCTCACTATGTGTACAGATGCACTCACACCTGCCTGCTGCCATTCCTGATCACGCTCTGCACTTGTGGTGCCTTGATCCTTCAGCAGAATCAACTTTAGGAGAGGGTCCTGGTGTTTGTGGTGCTTGTGGACTTTCTTGGGTGCCCTGAAGCCTTCTTCACAATTGAACCTCTCTTCTTGAAGTTCTTGATGATCCGACAAATGGTTGATATAGATGCAATCTTATTAGCAGCAATAT